AATATTTCGAGGTTATAAATATATCCTAAAACTAACTGTGACTAACGAAATCTTAGAATTTCTTGATACCGAATACAGATGTGTGCTTTGATATTCAAAGCTCAAACGGTTCCGGTTTTACTGTTAAACGAAGTGCATATACACATATAACGTCGCGAGTGGAGATAGAAGATCCTCGCGAACTGCGCGTTTCATAATGGGACGATTCTCTTCCTCTAAATGGCGTAGTGTTCTGCTATGCATTCTGTAGTCCGGCGTCGTATTTTCGACTACTAAGTGGTGGAAAATACAGATAAATAAATATTTCGACGTTAAAAGGTACTCCTAAAACTAAATGTGACCAACGAAACCTTACCTTTTTTTGGTACCGAATACAAAGTTATTGTTCGTTTTTCCAATAGCTCAAACGGTTCCCGTGTTACAGTTAAACGATGCGCATATACACATATACCGTCGCACTTGGAGATAGTATTTCTTCGCGATTTTCACCTAACGTACCGGTACGATACTCGTACTCTAAATGGAGTACGACTCTGCTATGAATTCTGGACATCGGCGCCGAATTTTCGAAATACGATGTGGGGGAATAAACAGATAAATAAATATTTCGACGTTAATAATATTTCCTAAAGGTAAATGTGACCAACGAAATCTTACCATTTTCTGGTATCGAATATATAGGTGTGCTTTGTATTTCAAACCTCAGACGGTACCCTTGTTACTGTTAAACGAAGCGAATGTACACATATAACGTCCCACATAGTTATAGTATTTCTGCGCGACCTTCGCAAATCATACTGGGACGATTTTCTTCCTCTAAATGGCCTACTGTTCTGCTATGCATATTGGACGCCGGCGTCGAATTTTCTAACTACGATGGTGGGGGCAAATACAGATAACTAAATATTTCGGCGATAAAAGTAATTCCTAAATCTAAATGTGGCCAACGAAAGCTTACCTTTTTTTGGTACCGAATACGAAGGTGTGGATTGTTTTTTCAATAGCTCCAACGGTTTCCGTGTTACTGTTATAGGAAGCGAAAATACATATGTGGCGGGGACGTCGTCGTCAACAAATCCTTACCAATCCTCGTTCTATTCTTCCACGCGAACTTTCTCTTTTCCAACTCCTTCAGATTGTAGTTTCCGTTCTTTTGTCTCTCCCCGGGTTAAGACTTGCTTTCGTCCTCGAGTGGCCTAAGAAGCGCACATGTGGCATCCAGGTTCGCACGAGGACGAACGGCCCGCTTTCCACGAATTTTCCGTTTCCACCTCTTTCTCCACTTCTACCTTTATGTATCGCTACTCCTGTCTCCCTGTCCTAACAATATAAAAACCGAGTACGCCTACACCTCGGGACAGTTTCTCCTTTACCGACCATCGCGACGTACCCGCCGAACCGCTGCCGCCGGGACGAGTAACAAAATAAACGATTATATTTCCCGGGCCAATTGCACGCCCGTACGACCATAACTTTGTACTTTAATAAATTGAGGCGAAAACAGGGTAACGACGTTCCTCATTCACCTCACTTTCTGGTGACCCCGACGTGATCTGAACGTGATGTGTAGTGACATTAACCAAGTGCGCACTCCGGGTAAAAACATTTTTTTTTGGTGTTCCGAAACAACAGTCGTACCGCGAGAATGGAAACGGGTCCGGGAGCATCCTCGGTGAATCGTGTCGCCGTCCGGGTTCCCGTATTTTGCCCGGCGGATCCGGAACTGTGGTTCACGATGGCGGAACGTAGTTTCCAAGCATCGGGGATAACGTCCGACGACACCAAGTACGGCTACATATTGGGTGCTCTAAACCCGCAGTACGCCGCCGAGGTACGGGACATCATTATGGACCCACCAGCCTCTGGGCCGTACCAGAAGCTGAAGACGGAGCTGATACGCCGGCTGAGCTCGTCGCAAGAGCAGAGAACGCGACGCCTCCTCGAGCACGAAGAGATGGGGGACAGAAAGCCAGCGCAATTCCTACGGCACCTCCGAAGACTGGCAGGTAAAACCGTCACGGACAGCGTATTGCGGACGTTATGGTTGGGACGACTGCCTACGAATATCCAGGTAATACTCGCGACGCAGAAAGACGTTGACCTGGATAAAGTAGCGGAGCTCGCAGACGCGGTCGCCGAAACGGTGACCCACCGCGTACAGATTGCCGAAACGACACCCGTGGCGGGCCACGATTTCGAGGCCTTACTGAATGGTAAGATGGCTCAGCTGGCGGTGTCATTGCGGCAAGAGATTTCCGCCATTCGAGAGGAACTGATCTCCGAGCGTCGGCCGTCGCGTCACGACGGAAATTTTCGCCCTAGATCACCCAGCCAAGTACGTTCGCGATCCGATTCCCGGAACCGTCGTCACGGAAAACGCGGGGTGTGCTGGTATCATTGGGCGTTCGACGCCGACGCCCAGAAGTGCGTGCAACCGTGCACGTGGAGCAACGCGGGAAACGAACGGGGCAGTCATTAATGACGGCGGACGACAATAACCCGACGACACGCCGTCCCTTCGTTAGGGATTTCGCGTCGAAAACGCAATTTTTGGTCGACACGGGCGCGGATCTCTGCGTTTTCCCGAAAACAATGACTCGTGGACCCCGCGCAAAGTCCCTATACGTCCTCTACGCGGCGAACGGGACCGAGATTTCCACGTACGGGACGGTGACACTGACCCTCGACTTGGGATTGCGCCGAGCGTTTACCTGGCGTTTCGTGGTGGCCGAGGTATCGAAACCCATCATCGGGGTCGATTTTTTATACCATTTCGGGTTACTGGTGGACATCCGCAACCAGAGACTAATGGATCAGGTCACGTCATTGTCGGTACCGGGACTCCCAGCAAACAGAAGTCGCCAAACGATTCCAAGTATCAAAACCGTATACGGCGGCTCCATGTTCCACGACCTGCTCCAGAAGTTTCCGGACATCACCAGGCCAGAAGGTACGCCCACCGAAACCAAACACTCCACGGTGCACTACGTACGGACGACAACGGGCCCGCCGGTTACTTGCAAACCGCGCCGACTTGCCCCGGACCGACTCAAAGCGGCAACGAAAGAGTTCGGGACGATGATGCGGCAGGGAATAGCGAGGCCATCGGAGAGTAGCTGGTAGTCTCCTCTGCACATGGTCCCGAAAAAAGGATTGGACGAATGGAGGCCGTGCGGGAACTACCGCGCACTCAACGCGAGAACACTCCCCGACAGGTATCCAGTCAAACACATCGAGGATTTCGCGCAGTCGTTGCAAGGGAAACAGGTGTTCTCAACGATAGACCTGGTACGAGCCTACAACCAAATTCCGGTCGCCATCGAACACATCTGCAAGACGGCCATCACGACGCCCTTCGGATTGTTCGAATTTCCATTTATGTCTTTCGGGCTACGCAACGCGGCACAGACATTTCAACGGTTTATCGACGAGGTGTTACGCGAGCTAGACTTTTGTTACGCCTACATCGACGATATTTTAGTTGCATCAGCATCAGAAGAGGAGCATGTCGGTCACCTGGAAGCTGTGTTCAACAGGCTCAAGCAGTACGGCGTCGTGGTCAACCCGGCAAAATGCGTGTTCGGACAGCCACAGGTCAAGTTTCTGGGATACACAGTAGCTAAGGAAGGCACCCGACCACTAGAAGACAAAGTGGAGGCCATAACCAATTACCCGCAACCCACCACCGCAAAGCAACTGAGGCAATTTTTAGGTATGCTAAATTTTTATAGACGGTTCATACCTAAAGCCGCGCAGGTGCAAGCGCCTCTCAATAGCCTACTCCAGGACAACATAAAAGGGCGCGCGCCCATAAACTGGACACCCCAAGCCTCCGCAGCGTTCGAAGAGTCGAAGCGAGGCCTGGCGCAGGCCGCGCTATTATCGCACCCGAAAATGAACGCGGCGCTGTCCATTACCTGCGACGCTTCCGATTTCACCGTGGGCGCCGTCCTCCAGCAACGCGTCGACGACAACTGGCAGCCGTTGGCATTCTTTTCAAAAAAAATCTCAACGACGGAAAGGAATTACGGAGCTTACGATAGGGAATTACTCGCAATATATCTGGCCATCAAACATTTCAAGCATATGATAGAAGGACGAACATTTACAATATTTACAGATCACAAACCCATCACATTCGCTTTCCAACAGAAATCAGAAAAGTGCACGCCGAGGCAGTTCCGCTACCTGGACTTCATAGGACAATTTACCACCGACATCAGACACATACCGGGAAAGGATAACGTCGTCGCCGACGCATTATCCAGAGTGGAAGAAATGGAGCAGCGGGTAGATTTCGAAGAACTCGCGAAATCCCAATGAAAGGACGAAGAGCTGAAAACGTACGTGCGTGACAACACCGGAAGCGCTCTACGTTTAGAAAAAATGACACTACCTGGAACCCGTACGACAATCTATTGTGACACCTCCACTAACACCACAAGACCATTCATCACTAAGCCATTCCGAAGAGCCGCGTTCGACACCATCCACCGGTTTTCGCACCCGGGAATCAACGCGACGGTCAAACTCGTAACCGAACGGTACGTCTGGCCGTCGATTAAAGCAGATTGCCGGAAATGGGCGCGCGGGTGCGTGGATTGTCAGCGTTCAAAAGTCACCCGGCACGTGCAAGCACCCGTCGGAAAATTCACCTCACCTTCAGGAAGATTCGAACATGTACACATAGACATCGTAGTTTACCCGTATCAGAGGGATTCAGGTATTGCCTTACCTGCATCGACCGTTTCACCCGTTGGCCAGAGGCCATACCTTTAAAAGATCAGGAGGCAGCAACCGTGGCACGAGCGTTTTATGAGGGATGGATCGTGCGGTTCGGGACCCCCCTCCGCGTTACCACCGACCGAGGTAGACAGTTCGAATCTTACCTTTTCAAACATTTGAACCAGTTAACAGGTACCACCCATCTACGAACAACGGCCTATCACCCAGCAGCGAACGGGATGGTGGAGCGATTCCACCGGCAACTGAAAGGAGCTATGCGCTGCCATCAGAACGCTCGGTGGACGGAGGTGCTTCCTACCATCATGCTTGGCATACGCGCAGCCTGGCGGGAGGATTTAAGATCCACAGCGGCAGAGCTGGTGTACGGCGAAACACTACGCCTACCTGGCGAATTTCTATCGCCCCGACCGAACGAGGCCGATCAGAACCCAGCCGAGTTCGTAAAAGGGTTGCGAGAGCATTTTCGTGGCATTACTCCAGCCTCCGGAAGTAACCACGGCACCCGAAAAGTTTTTATTTTTAAGGACCTCGCAAGGACAGACCAGGCGTTCGTACGGAACGACACTGTCAGAGGAATACTCCAGCCACCCTACAATGGACCATTCAGAGTCCTCACTCGCGGTCCGAAAACCTTCACCCTTAGCATCAAGGGCAAACCCGTAACCGTCACCATAGACAGGTTGAAACCAGCCTACACAGTCACGGACGCAGACGAGCCAACTCCTGACCAACCGGCTAACCAGGAGCAGCAACGGGCCAACCAGGAGCACCAACGGCCACCATCTACATCAGCATCAGGAACAGCACACCACGCAACGCGATCGGGCAGACGAGTTCGATTTCCCGACCGACTCCAGGTTTCGTGATTCAGTCAATCACTGGCAGGGGAGTGATGTGGCGGGTACGTCGTCGTCAACAAATCCTTACCAAACCTCGTTCTATTCTTCCACGCGAACTTTCTCTTTTCCAACTCCTTCAGATTTTAGTTTCCGTTCTTTTGTCTCTCCCCGGGTTAAGACTTGCTTTCGTCCTCGAGTGGCCTAAGAAGCGCACATGTGGCATCCAGGTTCGCACGAGGACGAACGAATTTTCCGTTTCCACCACTTTCTCCACTTCTATCTTTATCTATCGCTACTCCTGTCTCCCTGTCCTAACAATATAAAAACCGAGTACGCCTACACCACGGGACAGTTTCTCCTTTACCGACCATCGCGACGTACCCGACGGGACAGTTAACAAAGTAAACGATTGTATTTCCCGGACAAATTGTACGCCGACCATAACACTTGTATTTTAATAAATTGAGGTGAAAACAGTGCAACGACGTTCCTCACCCACCTCATATCGATTATTCATTTTTAATTGCACGAATGACAGTAATTAATTACAATCCTTCCTCATTTTTAATTACAAACTAGAGAGATTCAATTTCTGTACCAAAAGGGAAACACTCTATTTCTTCTTTCTCTGTGTATAAACATCCTCGCTGCACCATCCAGTGTCCTCTGTATTCGCGCAGGCTGAGATGTACACCGTACAGCCAGCGCGCAAAGTGCCTGAAATCAGAGCAAGCAGGTATATCGACAGGATCTATAACGAGGCTCCGTTCCCAGGCACGTATTTAAGGTGTGCAAAGCTAGTTGCGTTCGAGTGCTTCCCTCCAAAGTAGTTCTCCCCTTCGTACCTCACACTTCACGTCCACGTCGTCGAATCACGATGAGAATCGAACGCGTTATTTATAACGGACGACGGCCGCGTCGTTTCCCTAGGTTTTTTAATAACTCCCGGAGAATACGAGATGGATGGGAGGTGGCATTGTGGCGGAAGGCCAATCGAAATCCCCGGTGACGTTTCCTATATAGCTGCTTCGAGAGAGTCGTTTTAATCGAAAATCCACGTCGTCCCGAAACGGTTACAGTCCCGATTTACCCCGAGCACAGAGCTCTCTTCGAGTGGGACGATATTAACAAATTGACCCGCGACGCTTTAATTCCACCCTCTTTTCCTTCTCTCAAACTCGTCTCCCGTGGTTAACGTCCCGCTCGTACTTTTACTTCGTTCCATCAGCGTTCGTTCTATTTGCCGTGGAAACGAAGGTTCAGCCAGAACTTCTCCTAAACGTCGCTCCCTACTTTTCTCTCCCTGTTTCTTCGTTCCGAGAGAAGAAGGCGAGAATGGTTCGGTTTCTTCGTTGTAAGAGTTAGCGGGAAAAGAATTTTCTGATTTTATATTACTTTTATTGGCAAAACCGAGAACAAACGTCACACACGTGGTCTTAATACAATACAATACGCCATACTTTTTTTCGCTCGACGCATGCGCGATCGCCGCTCGGCGGACTGTGAGCTGATTTGGAACGAGTGCACTATGCCCTCCCTAAATTGAACCGTCTTAGTAGTTTACCGTAATTAATAATCTATTTTCGGAATATCGTAAAATTAAAAAAGTTGATATTTAAATCACTTGCACGTTTCATGCTTATCTTTTATTCGCTGTCCTTGTCTACGTTCGGCAAACTACAAAGGGGGGTGCGAGGCTCGAAAACGTAGTCCCTGACTCTACGAGTGTCAGGTTTAGCTTCCTTGTGATCTGACCCTTGTGGAGAATATACTGTACTTGAAAATTAGATTAAATCAACTTGCGAAAATGCGACAAATTTTCTCGGAAAGAATTATCTCTCTTTATAATCGAGAATATTATTTGAAATTAAATTAAATCTATAACTGATTTTCCTGTAATTTCCGAAACAGAAAATACTTGAAAATTACAGTTAATCAATTTGCAAAAATGCGACAAATTTTCTCAAAAAGAATTATTTCTCTCTATAATAAAGAATACTATTCGAAATTAAATTAAATTCATAACTGCTTCTTCTGAAATTTCCAAAACAGGAATTACTTAAAAATTAAGCATAAGAAGATCAGAGTTAATCGAGTAGAATTAAAATAAAAAGTAGGCTAGAATATAAGGATAACAATTTCACTAACCTCTTCAAAGACAAATAAGCCTTGTTGTTCTTCTCGATGTGCGTCACTCCCTCGCAGATAATCGCCACCTGGACCAAAATGGCGCCCAATAGGAACGTTAGTCCGATGGCGCTTTGTCCGTATCTCTTGAGAAAGGTCATCAGGAAGCCGAATCCGATCCAGATCATCACGTGGACATCTTGATACACTGAGCGGTTTTAACGATGGCCAGAAATCGCGAACGCGTGCACAGCAGGGAAACAGAAAGAGCTCTTTGTAGGCGCGTGCATGGCTCGCGTGCGGTTAATCAGCTTGCTCGCTCGCTCGTTTGTTCGCCGTAGAGCGGTGTTAATCGCCCGTTAATTGATCGTCGCAATTACGCGGCCCCGGTTGGAGGAAGAACGCGGTTTCTGTCGACCGATTCGAAGATAACCGCGAACTTCCATCAGAGGATACCTTAACGGCGCGTCTTAAAGCTGCCGGATAATTTCTCCGTGAAATGTGTTAATAGATGTGTAACATGGTGTAATGAGTATTTAAAGTGAATAGTGTGCTTGTTGTACGGTGAGATTTCAGGTTTCGTCGCGATATTTATTTTCGTTCGTATCTTATCAGAGGTATTTTGTGTGGATTGTAATATGTAGTTGAACGGAGAATTTGCCTTTTTCTTCGTTTAACTTCAATCTTTGTTTATACACTTTTTATACAATTGCAATACATTTTTCCACCATCTCTCCTAATGACAAAAATGCACACTGCAATGCTTGCTGTGTTTGGCTCTTTGTCCGCTGAGTGATAAGTGAAGAAAATTGTAGGGTTCCATTTAAAAAACTAAAGGTGATATTGAACATTTTGAAAAGAAATGACCTACAAGATATGTACTGCAATCAGCCTGTAGGCCTCTCTAAATCAAAGTGTTAAAAAATGAAAAGAATTTGTATCGGTCCAGTGATAACAAAAGTAATTAACCCTTTAACCTAGGGGTTCTCAAAGTTTTGCCTAGGTGGGCTAAATTGTAAATTCGAAAATATTTGGCGGGCTATTAAGACAATTACGGCCATTGGCCGTTAAGACAATAAAATATATACAATCTATATAACAACAAGATATATTGCATATAAAATTTAGTATTTTTTTAACTGAACAATTTTTAATTATGATATGATAAAATTTATTTAGTTTTTTGTAAAAATGTAAATTATCTCTGTAAATTCAGGATAGCGGCTGATCTGCCATCGCGGGCCGCATTTCTAGGGTTTACGGGTCGCACTTTGGGAACCCCTGCTCTAACCTATAATAACGTGTCAGACTCGTGGCAGAGATTCTTGTGAAAATGTGAGAAAAATAGTTATATTAGTAAGAAAAATTCATCGTAATCTTAGCTTTCGTTTGAATTCGTAAGACTGAGGATTACTAAATGTAATTAATCTGTAACAGATTAGCTTTTGTCACCCGATGCAGTACTAAAATAGAAAATGGCTGACGCTTAGATGCACAGTTAGAAAAGAAATCATAGGTTAAGGGGTTATGGTGATCGAGTTACATTGTCCACCATATTTTATAAATTACACCGTCGAAATATCAGAAATGCCTACCATAGAAATAAGTTATTTATACACCTCATCGAAATTCATTAAAAGGTAATATGTTCGAAAAGTGTATTCCGTTTAGCAAATAAAGTATATGATTAACTTGTATAAATTACTTTTGTGCAATATTTCCAGTTACTTATAAACAAAATAAATATCTCATGTTATCGATAAAAGTATATCGTATTATAAAATGGTAAAGTCAAAAACTGTTTACTTGCAATACTTTTTTCTTATATTTCAATGAAATATTTATTTCACGGTACGTATTATTTCTTCGGAAGTATTTGTAAGGCGTTGTGCGACGCGCCTAGGCAACGACCGCGGGACTCGAGCCGCAGGGGGCCCTAGACAAGGAGCAGCGCA